CTGTCGAAGTGACACACAAGGCGAATTATGCTCGATTTTTTGCCGATTTTTGACACACCACGCCAAAAAGGTTGCCCATCACTGTGATACATTATACTATGTGCACTGCACATTTCTTCCCACATATGTGAGAAGGTATTTCCCTTCTGGCACCTTTTATCACTGGCTGCTGCATGAAGAAGCTGAAGACACCTTCCAAATGAGTAAGGGTTCTATTCTAGGTATAGCTTTAACAATTTGCATAGGTTAATCTTTCTATTACTATTTTTTTCCTCTATTTTCCCGATCTATTTATCCTATATTCCCCAAAACATCAAATGTTTTCTAAGAACTGGAGTCTTGACAAAGACCACAAAATACATTCACAAATATTCTAAAGATTTAAAAAGTAAAACAATAAGAATGTATATGTGGCATACTGCTGAAGGTTCTTTTTATACAGCATTCACATTCTTCTGGTGCAGAAATCTCTTCTTTATTGAAGAAGATCCTTTCGAAACAGAAGGATGGATGAACCAGTACCTCCCTCCCTCCCTCCCCCCCCCCCAAAAATAACATGAAACTGGCTGAGCAAGTCAATGTACCTGGTGGTCTCCTAAACACATATCCTCAGTGGGCTTTTTCATTTCCTCCAAAATCATTTGCTGCCGCTGCCGTTCTTCCTGACGACGCTGAGCAAGGAGATTCTTTTCAGCTTTCCGGGGAACTTTCCCTGATGGTGCTGCTTTCTTATCCTTGGGCTTTACTTTTTCTTTCAATTTCCCTTTCTCCTTTGGCTTCTCTGGTTTGGTCCTTTCTGGCTTGCTCTTCTCCTTCTTGATTTGGGGCTGGGAGGCAGGGGAGAGAAAATAAGTTGTTTAACTTCGCCTAAAGTTATTCCCAAGCTGGCAACTTTCCTCCTTCTCAAGAAATCCCTCATAATCACTATCTACCTTAGGTTTCTTTTTTGGTTCCTTAGACTTGGTCTCCTTGGGCTTTGTGGTCTTGGATTCCTGCTTCTGCTTATTTTGTACCTAGGGAGAAAATCAACCATGCTCAGAACACAGAGAAAAACACCAAGGAGAAAAATAATTGCTCCATTTTAAAATAAAACAGTGGTTTTCCCTCAACTTCTACAGCATATATTTATCCATCATATTTTGCCTGTCTCACATACTAACCAAAACATTCTAAGCCCCCAAGATTCTGCTAACCAAGACATGATCTACTTCACATTGCTTAGATTCACCAGGAAATGAATTGCAGGAGTTGGCATTTAAGTACTTTAATTTTAACAAATATCTCCTCCCCCTACAACTGTAGAGAAACAGCTGTAGAAATACTGGGGAATTCCTTCCTTCCCAATGTCGAAATTCAGGTAATTTTGGTTCTCAATTCTTTTTTGCTGTTCTAATCCTTTCACTAAAACCTCTCTCTCACACACACCCCATGTCACATTATTTTTAAATAAGAAAAAGGTATTGTGAACATACATTCGGTTTTGGATTTTCTCCAGTTCAATATGGGAGGCTTTATTAAACCTCTGTGTATCTTACTAGTAATCAAGACAGAAGATCTTACAATATCACCTCCATCCTCTACATCTGCCAAGATCAGGAATGCCTGTTCTAACTCAAATATCGCCCACAAGGATGACCGAGCCTTCTTAAGCAGAATGCACAGCTTTTTCTACTCTATGTACCTTTTGTCTCATTTTCTTCTTGATCTTGGTCATCTTCAGCTTATCTTCATCACTCAGAACCTCTGCAAACACAAAAAGGGAGAATGAGACTAAACTAGCTCTACACTTAATGTCTAACAATATCTTCATTCTTTATAAGAAAGTATTAATTTTCTAAGAGACATTGCTGACATGGCCCAAAAAATATACTCAGCATGAACACAACCCAATCTCTTTTCATAGCTTTGTTCCTTTCTCAGGTTTAATTGTTTCAGCCATTAAATAAGCTTTGGTGAGCATGATTTTTTTTTAAAATATCCATAATGAGGAATGAGGTCTTCATACTCTACCCGCATATAAACTAATGAGCTCTTTTTAAGATATTTTTTGAAGAATATAAATAATCTAAGAGCACAAAACACTGAACAGGCCCGACAGCAAATACGAATCTGGACACTGCCCAGTTCCATATCTATTGAATGATTTTAGCACTGCTTAATAAATAAAAATAAAATACTTTTTGCTGTGAAACTTTCTATAGACGATAAGGTCAGATAAAGTGCAGACAAGACATAATGTTGACATGTGGCACTGAGGATTTTAGTCCATTGTATAATGAATTAAAAATTCTTCCTATTTGCCTCCATCTCTTGTGTATTCTGTACAGTGGCTTCACCACATGAAACTGGCAGCAAGCCCGAACAGTCATAATTAAATCAATGTGGATAAATTGCTCTCCCCAACAATACCCAGGCAGAGTTGTAGCTTTATTAGGAAGCATTCAGTATTCATGATAGCGAGAGCATCTTACTGCTTAAAGTATAATAATTACGGAGACTAAGACACCCTGGATGCTTCAAATTTCTTGCAATTAAAACAGAGGCAGGCTATCTCTGTCCCAGAACAGCATGTGACCCCTTCTGTGTGGCATCAGAACATCCTCTCCTCACATTGGCTGAATACTAAGAACATAGTTCCTCACCATATTGAGTCAGAATGGAAACTGTAGTGATGAATCCGACATGGGCTTAAAATAGATTTAAGATATTAAAAACCCACACAAAATCCATTCCCCACCCCAATAAAATTTAGCCCAACCCAATTTTCATCACTGCCCCACCAACTATGGTCCTAAGGCAGTGATGGCGAACCTTTTCAGCACCGAGTGCCCAAACTGGAATGTGTGTGCATGTGCGCCCGCTGGAGCACCAGAAACCCGAAGACCAGCTGGCCGGTGCCCATGTACGCACCAGCCAGCTGCTTTTCAGGTTTCCACCATGCATGCTGGGCAGCTGGTCTTCACACGCACTGGAGCACTGGAAACCTGGCCGGCGCATGCATGCCTGTTTTTTTGGCCATTTTCAGGCTGTTTTGGGGGCCATTTTCAGGCAGTTTTCCGGCACTCCCGCACCTGCGAAGACCAGAAACCAGAAGAGAAGCTGGCAGTGACGTGTGTGCCCACAGAGAGGGCTCTGCGTGCTACCTCTGGCATGCGTGCCATAGGTTCGCCATCACTGTCCTAAGGCTATGAAAAAGATATTGAGTGACCTGATTACAATAAGACAGGACGGATGGAGCACCCATGGATGAAGTCCACAAGAATCCTATTTACATTTCTGATCTTGAATCTTTCTGCTTTTTAAATAACAAAACAAAACAAAGTTCTAGCCCCATGGCAGTGGAAACACAAGGGACAGCTAGGAAGAAGATGGTACCTGCCAAGTACTTCCAGTTCTGAAAAGTACAGCTCTTATTTTCTGTATAGCTACCTGCCCCTCCCCTCAAATTCTCCAGTCATGTTCTCTTACCTATATATTCTTACTGCCCTTTGCTTATCCGTTCCTCTCTTCCTGCTGCCACACCGCTCCTTGACAAGAAATTCCAAATTTTGCAAAAACTCACACATCAGTTTCCAGAAAAGGCATGCAAATGAAAAATAAGCAGATTTGCATGCATCTTGTTGATTGGCCTTATTTTTGAGAGCAAAAGTTGAATTTTCTTGCTGCACGTAATGAACAGCCTTTCCTCCAGATACTGACAAACAACCACTGCCACAAACTAGAACGTTTTCTTGTGAAAGCTACAAGCATGCAAAAAGGGCTGGTCCAACTGGTACCTTGGGTTTCCAGCTTTTTCAAAACTCTGGCGTCCGTCTTGCTCAGCAGATCAGTCACTTTCACTTTGGGAGGTCGGCCACGTCCACGTTTCACTTTGGGCATTTCCTTAGCCTTGGCTTTCTCCATATTTCGAGGGCGGCCACGCTTACCCGTGATGGCCTGGATGCGTGAAGGGATTTCTTCATGTGACAATTTTACCCACTGCACGCCCTGTGAAATGAAGAAAAGGATGCTGCAGATGTTGTAGTTTACACAGGTCAGCAGCCTTTTTGCTGGCCATACTGGCTAGTGCTGATGAGAATTGAAAACCACAATATCTGCAGGGCGAAAGGGCAGATCCTCAGAAGCCACAGAAACAAATCCTTTCATTGACACCTGTAAACATGTTTTTGGTCTAGAAGTACTGTGTTTCCCTGAAAATAAGACCCTGTCTTATTTTCTTTTGAAACCCCCACCACCACCTTGAAATAAGCACTTGACCTTATTTTCAGGGAGGTGTTATTATTTTTGAGATACAGGAGGCGGCAAGCGTGGTCACCTCATGGCTGCTGCTGTGTTGCAATATTTTTGGGAGGGCTTATTTTCAGGGGAGGGCTTATTTTAGAGCATGTGTGCAAAAGCCCAATTGGGCTTATTATCCAGGGAGGTCTTATTTTTGGGGAAACAGGGTAGAAAAACAATTTGGGGAGAGGACGAAGAGTGGACTATGTGTTTCAAACTCACCGTTTACTAAGCCATTATGCCAGATACAAATAGTCCTTGACCTACAACCACAATTGAGCCCAAAATTCCTGTGGCTTAGCAAGTTGAGTTTCGCCCCATTTAACAAACTGTCTGCCACAGTTGTTAAATGAATCACTGCAGTTGTTAAGCAAATCACTGCAGTTGGTAAGTTAGTAACACGGTTAAGTGAATCTAGCTTCCCCATTGACTTTGCTTGTCAGAGGGTCGCGCAAGGTGATCATGTAACCAGGGACACTACAATCATCGTAAATACCATGTCAGTAACTAAGTGTCCAAATTTTGATCATGCATTCATGGGGCTGCTGCAATGATCGTACATGTGAAAAATGGCCTTAAGTCGCTTTTTTTCAAATGCCAATGCAAATTTAAACGGCCACTAAATCAAGTCAAGGACTACCTACTATGCTTCAAGAGCTATAGTAGTTTGTGATAATGTCCTCCCTCATTTAAAATATTGAAAGTAGGATCTATGTAGATATTCTGTTGTAAAACGTCCTTTACACTTGGCCCCAGGATTCCTAGCCCAGTCTTGGCAAAAGATGCCAATGATTCCTCAGAAGAGGAACAAGATCTACCTCAGATGTATCTTGCTCTTCAAAGAAATCTCCCACTGGCATTCGGGGACTGAAGCTGAAGTGTTCACGGCGGACGTTCTGCCCATCATTTCTGCTCAGATACTACAAGGGAATAAACCACGAAAACATTAATCAAGCACTTAAGTTTTTTTTTAAGATGGAGGCTCTCTCTGAAGTGATCATTGTATCTCTGGAACCACAGAAATACTCTAATAAATCGGTGTCCAGAGAAACATACAATCTAAACATGCATATTGGATATCATCCATTACAACTGATTAACAGTCTTGGGTTCTTCTTGATATCTTACAAGAAGTATCCAAAAAAGGCAAAGCAAATCTTATTCCTAGCCAAATGCTCCAGATAGGAACTACATTCATGGAGATGGTGAAGAAGATAGCTACTTGATAACAAATGGCAGGGGATGGTGCGTGTTAGGTCTGAGAGTAACTAGATGAGGAGGAAATGAAGGAGTCTTGGATAATAGGAGGTCACAATCTGAAATAGGGGGATGAAAGAATAATACAAGCAGATGAATAGTGTTGAACCTCTCGCTACAGCTTTGCTTAAGAACAGGAGGGGCAGCCATGGTTGCCTAGTTGTCTAGTGCCCTTCCCTGGACCAGAAGAGCTTGCTCACGGTCACCTCCGTTTGAATTACTGCAATGTGTTCTACATGGAACTGCTCTTGAAGACTATCCAGAAGCTTCAAGTGGTCTAGAATGCTCCAGAGCACCCAGTAATTGAGATTCCTAGGTTTGCCCATCTAACACTTCTGTTGCACAAGCTGCTCTTGCTTCCAGTATCTTTCTGGGTGCATTTCAAGTGCTGGGTCATCACCTTTAAAGCCCTGTATTTCATGGGGTGAAGTTAACTGCATGACCTCCTTTTCCTAAAGACACCTGCCCATCCCACCAAGGCAGATGGGGTGGAAATATTCCTAGTCCCGTTCCTTAAATATTGCCATCTTAAGGGAGCTAGGAAGGCTGCTTTTACTCTGGCAGCCCCTGCCTGATGGAACACTCTTTATTCTCAGGTCTGGCAGGCCTCTACCATCCAAGCCTTATGTAAACCTTTGAAGACCTGTCTTTCCCCCTTAAGTCTGGGGATGCAATGAAGTGACTGCAGATCAGGGATTTGACTTGGCACCAATTTTTTTAAGCAAGCAAGCAAGAAAGAAAGAAGGAGAGGAGAGAGGGAGAAAGAAAAAAAGAGGGAGATAAGGAGAGAGAAAGAAAGAAAGAAAGAAAGAAAGGAAGGAAGGAAGGAAGGAAGGAAGGAAGGAACGAACAAACAAACAAACAAACAAACAAACAAACAAACAAACAAACAAACCAAATGATGCAGATTCGGGTAAAAAAAGATATTCTGACACAGTATGTCTTTTCTTTGGAAATAGTGAAGAAAGAGGAACTTTGTCTGGGCCAGAAAAAAAAGCAACATTATTCTCAGTAAACTAAATTAATGTTCAAGAATGATTTTAAAACTGGGTTGCAGAATAGCGTATAAAATGGAGAAGTCACTTACAAAAGAAATCAGCCACCACCGCTTCCTATCTGGGAAACTTTTGTTTTACCTTGATCACCTCTGGAAACTGCTTCATCCTTTTGCCACAGGGTCCATAGTACCAAGTTTCTCCCTGCCATCGATTGTTCCCTTTCTTGATGCGCACCTCCCTTCGCCATCTGAATACAAAGGTAGTCAATCAAAGATTGGAAACCTGCATCCTAACTCAGAAATATAATTTGCTGTGCATGGACTAGCACCATACAAAAGCAAGGAAAATGGGACTACCTACCCATGTTTCAAGGGGTAGTACACCTCTTCTACTGTGGCTATTCGCCTTCTTGGACCATCACCTGTCAGAACAAACAACCATTATCACTGCTACCAACTAAATCACATTTAAAGGCAGCCAAGGTAGCTAAGAAGCATGAAGAAAAAGTGTACTTACTTTTGGCAGATACATTTAGTGGTGAAGCTTCTTTGCTGTCCCCGTCTATTTCAGATACAGGATTGTCTGTACCACTGCTCTTGACTGCTTCTTCTAAAGAGGCATTTAGAGATTCTGGTTCAAGGGGTGCCTGCGAATCCAGAAATTCTGTGCCCTCTTGCCCTACTTCACTAACACCTGTCAGCTCTATAACAAAAGAGAAGTAACAGAAAAATAGAAAGGCAGAGAGAAGAGAATGAACCCACAATGGAAAGAGTTCATTGAGCATTGCAGGGAGTAAGACAATGTTTACAATTACTTCTGCTGCATTCCAGTCACTTAGTGGCATGCTACAAACCGTTAACAGCATATAGTACTTGGAATATAGATTTCAAGTACTGAGCCTCATTGCTTGGAAGTTCTTTCAAGAATTTAGACCTTCACATGATAATTACAATTGTTATGTGAACAACATAGTCCTTTGTATCTACTCAGGATTAATATGCAGTATTATCTTTTCTTCTACATACTGTTAGAGAAGGATTTTCTACAAAATGTAAACTTCCACCTGCATAAAATAGCTACCAAGGCTTCAGTTATGCAGCTATATATTGTATGAGGTATTTCAATATATACTTTCTAAAGTTCTATACAGTTAAATTTGATTTGTCTCCCTCTAACTAAATTTCTAACCACACCACATTTTTAATTGATCTGCACATTTGCTGAGTTCTTTCTCATTTACAGTGTTAAGATATTTTTCTTTGTCCCCTATAATTGCAAAATAAATTAGCTTCACCTCCCTCAGATCTATACAATTTATTACTTGGAAATATGTACCTCCAGATCCCACAACTCCTTTTAAAAGTACTGAGCAAAAGTTATTTGAAGACAGAGAATTGTTTGGACCAATGGATAGGTCTTGCTTACCTTGCAAAACTGACTCTCCAAGAACAGGAGGCAAACTGGCACTTCCAAAAAGAGAGGTATCAGGCTGACTGTCATCTGCCAATAGGCTGAAGGAGTCAGAGTGGTTGAGAGAGGGACTGCCAGGACAATCCAGGGCAGAAATGTCAGGAGGATCCTCCAGCGGAGACTTGCCACTCACAAGTTCAGATGTATCCATTTCATATAAGTCTCCTGTCCCTGGGTCTACAAACCATACATTTGTAAAGTTCTTATACACTGTTCAAAATAACAATTTAATCCCAACAATATGTCTTTGCATTACTATCCATAACTTAAACACTAAATATACAGAGTGCTCTTTACACTTCTCTATGTAATTAGACTGGTCTTTAGATATGCTGTACCAAAGAAACATTTAATGATATTTTAAATAAATTTCTTGGTTATTTTTAAGAAAACAGACTGTCACTTGCTTGGGGCTTAGCATCCAAATTATTTGTTACACCGACTTCCAAATCCGAGCCATTGTACATATTTTAAAAATCCATTTTAGGAAAGGAAAAAAGCTAAGTCAGACAGAAAAATATGCCTGTTAATAGCAACATTTAGATCTGTTTTTACTGCTTACATCTACAAGACATATAAGCAAAGAGCACAGTAGTTACGATGTTGGACTAGGAACTGGGAAACTGCAATTTCTGATCCTCCCTTAGGCATGAAAGCTAGCTGGGTGACTTTGGGCCACTCATTCTCTCCCAGCCCAGACCCCCTGTCACTGGATTGTTGTTGTGAGAAAAACAAAAGATGGGAATATTATGCATGCCATTTTGAATTGGACAAAATAAACTTAGGATATAAATCTAGTAATAAATAAGCAGAATGTACAGAATGGTTGGACAATATAGTTGGAGGAAGAGGCATTCACGTTGTTGGGTTGGAACTCATATATCCACATACCCACTGATATACACGTGCCCTCTTTATTTATTTACTCACTTAAAAACACTACTCAAAACATTTCTTTCTTCCTTGTCCTTCTTTCTCCCACTGATCCCACATTACTGAAACTAAAAGCAACTATTGGAACTAGAGATCATTTAGACATAAACTGTAGGGAGAAATCAGAACTGACCATTAATGTTTTGCCTTGTAAATCTATCCAGTTGCCTCCATCATAGTATTGGTCTTTTTTGATGTTTATAATTAAATTATAAAACTGGATTTTAAATCCATAAGCATTGAATCAAGCCCCTAACACAATACATAATATAACTGAACCATAAATTCACGAAGGAACTGCCTCTACCATCAGTAAAATGCTTGCTTAAGCCTCTAGCCATGAACAATAATAAGACAGGAAAGAACAAAGTAACAGGATTGCAAGGGCAGTGGCGGTGTTGTTTGTTGTTTTGTATATTGCTGATTAGGGCTAAAATAAGTGTTTACATTTACAAGAATGCTGCTGCTGGAGAAGCTGCACAATGACAACAATAGCAAATGTTTATATGGGAGCTACATCTGGGCAAGATAAAGTTTTCTTCATTGTCACTAGTTGTAAGGCCTTAAGAGAACCTTTGTCAACAAAATAGTTCCCACAAGGGTAGCCATGTTAGTCTTTTACAGAAAGATTAAAGTCACTGTGCATCTTAAAAGTTAACCCAGCTTACAATGGAATAACCTTTTATGTCTCACAGCTTATTCCCACCATTTCCCGTGAAGTGCATGGAATACTGTGACAATTGGTAAAACATGGGCTACCCAGATTTCTGCAAAAGAACTTTTTGCATTTTGAATAGTAAAGACAGGGAAATTTCACCATGTATGTATAGCTTGCATAACAAACTTCATTTGCTGAAATTCTCTTTTACTTAGATATGTGGCAGAGGGGTTTCAAAAATTTTTACTACCGGTTCGGTGGGCTTTTTGTCCTCCCCAGCCCCCAGGAATACCTTGCAGGGTTCAGCAGGGCTGGGCGAAGGGAAAAACGCCTGTTTTTGCGAAAAAAAACGGGGTGTTTTTTTTGCAAAAACTGGCATTTTCCCCTTCCCCCAGCCCTGCTGAAGCCTGCTAAGTGCTTCTAGAGACTGGGAGAAGGGAAAAATGCCTCCACCCACCTCTCACTCAACTTGCTGCTCAACCTCCCACCCACCTTCACCCAAAGCCTTGTACCGCACCAGGAGGCTGAAGTTGGAATCCCCCCCCCCCCCTGTTGCGTACCTTGGCAACAGGACTGTTTCTCTCTGCCTCCTTTTTCAGCCACAAAACATGCCGACAAGGCCAGTGGTGACTAAGGGAACCTGTTCAGGGGCATGGCCAGACTGCCATTACTAATGACTCAAAAAGGTACGCCAGATTTTTACTACCTATTCAGGAGAACCGGAGCAAATAGGTAGGAACCCACCTCTGGTATGTGGACACCTTATATTTTTAAACGTTTTTTTCACTCTATAAGGACATCATTTGTAAGATTTGGAAGAAACACCTGCTCAAATTGTATAGATATAAAAATGCAAAGATGAAAAATTTCATCCACTTACCTCTGTCTAAGGACTCAAAAGGCTCCAAAGAGTCTTCCAGAGGAGGAGGGATCCGAGAAGCATCTTCAAGGCAACCAGCTCCAGCATCAGGTTCCAAGACAGAGGCCTCTTGGCTAAGAGGCTCACCCACTGGAGAAGAACCATTGTAGCCACATATTTTCAACTCTACAGGAAATATTATTATTAAAAATGTCACATTGAACTTTCTAAATTGTGATTTTAAAAATTATCTTTCACTTCGGGACTTGAGAAAACTTTAAAAATAAGCAGAATCTCACAGCAAACACACACACATCTCATTTTAAATTAATCAAAGAACTTTTCATTCCTTATCTCAGTAATTCTAACCCTATGGTTTCATCTGCCTGAAAAAGATACTTTATCATTATTTTACAAATGCCATTCATGTCATGGTACTTAACAAAACAAGAAGAAAACTGGCAGATCCTTGCCCCAAGCTCAATAACCTGCAATATAGATTTAATAGAAGGCCATAGTCCTTGGTAAACCTGAAAACCATGTCACTCGGCCAAACTTGGAAAACCAATATATTACAGCAATCTGACTCTTGGTAGTCTATAACTACAGTAAAGAACCAAACATTGGGAATTACTATTGTGAGAAGACATATTTCAAAACCACAGAGATGCCAAGGTAGATACATTACTACTATACTCAAGTGTAGGAGGCACAGCCATTTATTTCTAGAAATTTAAAAAAATAATTAGAAGTGGCAGATATTGAAATTTTAACAGTAAGCAAGATTTGTACAGTACCTACTCTTCCAGCTTAAATTGGAATTAATCATAAGGTATCACTGGGCTTATGGGAAGTCAAATTTTATCATGTCCATTCTGAATAAAAATTCTGAGGACCATTTGTGAATTATACCTGGCTGTGCGTTTTCCAGCTCCATACTGCCCAACAATCTGGTGCCATTTTCTGAAACCGTAGATGGTGGTTCTTTTACAGCCTCTTCATTGCCTGGCTCATCCTGCTGTGGTGAGAAGTCCTGATTCCCTGAAGCAAGCATGGGAGAAGGCTGAGATGACGTGTAGAAGCTTGATGGGCCATTTTGTAGGATTTCAAAGTTCTGATCATCAGGGAAAGAGTCATAGAGCTCTGCTGAGTCAAAATTTAATCCCATGGTCCCTGGGGTACCGTTGGCCCAGAACTCTTGCCCACTGCTTCCCCTCAGACTGGTGCTATGTCCAGGTGAGTTCTGCCGGTTGTTCTCAACAGTGCCATTCAATGGGTATTGGGAGAACAGTGGACCATCTTTGAGATTGTTGCCATTGCCAGAGGGATACTGGGAATAATTCCACAGATAGTCATAGGGATGATGGAGGTGAGAGTTGTTTGAGGAACGGGTCCCTGAAGTACTAGCATTAGATACAGTAGTTAGGCCATTAACATTCATGTCTCCATTTAAACCTGCCACGAGGAAAAAGAAAGAGAGAACAAATACTAAGAGCTAGTTTGGTCATCATCAAAGTTGATACCAGGCAGAAATTTTAAAAACTCAAAGAAGCAGTGCAATATTTGAAGATTGGAGAGACCCGGCCCACAGAATCACTAAGAGTCGGAATGGATAATATCACCATCAGTTTGGTGCAGTAGTTAAGATGCTGGCCTAGAAACCAGGAGACTGTAAATTCTAGTCCGGCTGGGCAAGACTAGGCTAGGACTTGGGCCACTCAGTCTCTCTCTCAGCCCAACTCACCTCACAGGGTTGTTGTGGGGAAAGCAGGAGAAGGAAGAAGTAGTTCTGTATGTTCACCATCTTGAGTTACTTATGAAGTAATAAAGCTGGTATTAAAAAGATCTAATAAATCAATAAAAAATAAATACCAGGAACAGTGACTAAGAGCAAGATTATCTTCTTTTAGACCTGCCTTCTTTTTGAAAAGTACAACCAGCAAAATAATAAAGCTGAATACTCTGCTCCATTAATGCAAGTCAACATCCTCGCACATTTTCTCAGACCACATCATTTTCTGACTATTTCCAACTCCATCCTTCAATTTCTCCCACTACAGAGTTGCCTGAAGACATTAAAAAAATGCATGGGTGCAATTGTATTTTCATTCTTTCTTTTTGTACTGCATTTTGAATCACAGCCATATTCCATGCATTTCTGGCTCAATTGACTTTCTGCTACAAATATGCTTATCCCTGCAATGTACACCACAACAGGAAAAAAAAAAGTTTTCCCACTTCTGTCACACAAAGAGCAGTCAGAGAGGGTACTTTTATCTACTTTTATTTTGCATTAAATTTCAAGGGTGGAAGTTGTTGCTGAAAAAGAAGTATAACAAAGTATGTAGGTAAGGAGAAGAGCGATGAAGGCAAAGAGAAGGAAAAAATATTCTATATGATTTTGGAAGAGGAAGAATAAGCACTCTGTTTTTATATCATGTTCTAATTTCCAAAGATTTGTCACATTCTATGTCATGGTTTTGAGGATAATCATGAATGATAAAATACTTATGAAGTCTCCTGCTCTATGCAGTCAAATGGAATTGTTTCAGTATGAGAAAAGCTGTTATTTATGTTCTACCATTTTTCCTTTAACAATTCTTCCATAAACTGAATGGCTTCAAGGATTGTGCTGATTTTTATTATATAGGTAGTCCTTGACATGAACATAATTGAGCCCAGTGTAATACATCATGATGGATATTAAGAGGATCATCACATGATCACACACAATTTTACAACCATTTTGGTGGCAGTCCTTAAGCAAATGCCATGGTTGTGAACCTATTTTCTTCAATGGGCACTTTTTGCCATAAGTTAAAAGTGAATGCTGGAAATCAGGGGTGGAAACCCCACAAATCAGTCACATGACTGTGGAAAATTGCAACAGCCACAAACTTGAGCCAGTTGCCAAGTGTCCAAAATGTAATCATGTGATCATGAGTGAGGCTGCACCATTGGAGACTGTTTATCTTTTAGCAACAAGGCAAAACAATAGCAGCAATGTTTCCAAACCTTTCAAAATAATGTGAAGTTTAACATATGCTGAAGGAAAATTACATTTGATTAACAATTTTAGATTTCTATTCATAGCAAGATGATTACCTTTAGATGTTCACTAGACAGCCTTGTTAGGTTATTGTTTCAGAGATATTTCCTTACCTAACACTTGCAAATCCCCTCCTCACCATGTCATCCTTGTATCCTGACACATCCTCCACAACATGCATCCCACACACATTCCCCGTCCCTGCACTGCCCCCTGTGCAATTCCTAACAACCTTGCACAATGTCCCCAACCCGTACTGTGCCTCTCGTAAACCCACTTGTATTCCTGCGACCCACATGGCTCCTCCTCCTCACAGGGAGGTATGCATGGATATTGTATAGGTCAGGAAGAATGCACAAGTATTCATGAGAGACGACCCACATATCAGGAAGGGCACATGGAGTAGATGGGAGATGGAGTGGAGAGGGCACAGGGGTGCAGAATGGGTTAATGTCCAACATAAGTACAGAGGGACTAGGGAAGTTGCAAAGATGGGGGAGACTTAACCAAGCAATTTGAGACCTTCCCTGCCAGCTTCCCCAGTGCCAACACTCCCTCCCGGCTTTCCATAATAAAATATTTTTCTTGTGGAGGTGGCGGAAGTGTTGCCAATCATGATTGAGTTTATACTTTCGGCTTGCTTCCCCATTGACTTATGAGAGAGAATAGTGGAAATAACATCATGTAACATGGCTGACTGGCAACAGTGTGGCAGTGTTGAAGCAGTCACTTTCCCAAATGTCATTCCTAGGGAAGTAATGGGTCCCAACTTATTTGAGGTAGTTTGGTTCAAAAATTATTACCCTATGATGCACCATTTTTCTCAATTGAAGATTTCAGGGAGATACAAGATATTTTGTGGTATATAGATATTTTCAACATAAACTTTAAAAAAGTATTATAAGGTCTAAACCTTTTTCTCCACTAATAAAATATGAAAGCTCAGACTTTGTATGCCAACTCTGTTATCTCGATGGATGTAAGGATACATAAAATCTTTCTTATTACTGAATTATCCATCTCTATTAAGACCTGCTGAACCTCACATTTCATTGCAAAATAACAAAGTAATAATTCCATACTCAGAGAACTATATACCATAAAGGGAAGAGCTGGTAGCATTAGTCACTGGATCTTGTATAATCAAGGGTCAAGTCTACTATTAATATCACAGCAACGGCCAAGTCCATTGGTCTTCACTTACTTTTGCCTTGTTGGGGGAAGTTCATAGGAGATCCATTTGTGTAGACATTGTCCCCTGAGGAAGGAGCAGGTTTCAGTCCTGAGGCAGCAGGTGAAGAGGGAAGGCCAGTGAAATTAAAATGGTTGTTTGCTTCCATTTCTAAAATAAAAAGACATTGAAGAAAGACTTAAAGATAATACAAAAATGCATTTTAAGTGTGCATCGGTATACTGCATATACCACCTAGCTGATGGATGTGAACTACAGTATGTTGGTTTCCATGATAAATTAGAGATTTGAAACCTTAACTTTCATAAAATAACAGGAGCGTACCTGGGGTAAAACTGAGTTTTGGTAGAACATTTGGCATATCAGCTGAAGTCTGCCAAAAATGATTGATATTAAATAGGAGGGAGACGGAGGACCCCTTGCAGGGTAGGGCTGAGGAATACGTCTAGTTCTTAGCGGACAAAGTTGCTCGGTTTCGATCGGACTTGGACTCCGACTTTGCAGATCCAGCCGAGGCACAGGGGGATAATCTGGAATACCATCGCTGGGTTGAGTTTCAGGATGTTGCCCCTGGGGATGTGGACAAGGCCATGAGAGCTGTGAGTGCCTCCACCTGTGTACTGGACCCGTGCCCCTCCTGGCTGGTTGCTAACAGCAGGGAGGTGACACGGGGCTGGATCCAGGCGGTTGTTACCGCCTCCCTTCGGGAGGGGGTCTTTCCCTCCACACTTAAAGCGGCGGTGGTGAGACCCCTCCTGAAGAAACCATCTTTGGATCCAGCCGTTCTTAATAATTATCATCCAGTCTCCAACCTCCCCTTTGTGGGGAAGGTTGTTGAGAAGGTGGTGGCCTTTCAGCTC